GGCCATCTCATGTCCGAGCGCCGTCGTCCCCCAGTCTTGTCCTCAAAAGCGGCTATCTGCTGCCCTGCAGCGCGGCCGTCCCCACTCTTTGGGTGCAACAGGTGCGTTGGCTCGGACGGCGGCGATGCCACGATACGCTGGCGGGCGTGCGTGCGGCGACCGGCCGGCGCCCGGCCGGCGCCGGCGGCGCTGCTGGCACCAGAGCGGCGCCACAGCGGCGCCGCCTGTGCGTGAGCGTCGGCGTCGCTCCGCCGGCTGCGCCGCCGGCCGGTGCAACGGACATTCTCCTCCCCCTCGTTCCCCCCCCGCGCGGAGGTCAGCTGAGAGGAGCGACCGTGTTTATGGGACAGGGTGCAAGCGCGAGCAGCTCAGTCGAAACCAGTGCTGCAACGGCAGGCGAAGGTTAGTCAGACGTGACGTCGATCCCTGTCCCATCCCCAGCACAACGACAGGCGAAGGCGAGTATACGTCGGCCCCTGTCCCATCCCCAGCACAACGACAGGCGAAGGCGAGTATACGTCGGCCCCTGTCCCATCCCCAGCACAACGACAGGCGAAGGCGAGTATACGTCGGCCCCTGTCCCATCCCCAGCACGACAGGCGAAGGCGAGTATACGTCGGCCCCTGTCCCATCCCCAGCACAACGACAGGCGAAGGCGAGTATACGTCGGCCCCTGTCCCAACGTTGGTCTCTGCCCCATTCCCAGCACGGGGCTGAGCACACCAGTGACTATCAGAAAAAACACGTCCCCTTCACATGGATTGAACGTTACAGACGGATTACATAAGGATCACCGACGTGGAGGTAATTTGTTTAATAACAAGCCGTCCAGGTCTCATTCAGCAGCAGGCACAGGCAGGTCGCCAGCTAACAAATGGCGTGTCTCACCGTGCGCCGCTAGACCAGCCTCGCCTGCACCCGTGTTGTCACCCCGCTGCGACTGGGTGATGAAGCGTTGGAAGACGGGTGATTCTGTAGGAGACCGGGTGAGGTCAAGGTGATATGAGAAAGAAATGTACACTTGCAATGAGTACACCACCTGACTGCAGTGATGACAATTATGATATCATCTGATCTCGAACGTCAGCCCGGTTATGGATTGCGAACTATGTATGTGAGGGACTGAAAATGTCTGCAAACCCATGACCGACTGCCATCGCCGCGAGAGGCGATTAAGGTGCCTAGGTCACGGGGTCACAGAAGCGCTTCTGGCGGGATGGATCAAAGTTATATCCCAGTGAGGAAGATGCGGGCACGTTTGCGTCGGCTGTGCACCAGATAGTTTTCTATGAAAACAAGGCACCTTTTTCACGGTCGACGTCCCAGTTTGCCACCCACCGGAAAACAAGCTAAGGCCCACAGCTAAGGTCCACACTGCCCGTATCGTGCCGTTCAACAATGCGGGTTTAAAGGTCACGCGCTCTCCTACGCGCACGGCGGCGGCATGAGAGCGCGCGCGTGCCACCACCCGGCTGTCAGAGGACGGACCCACTAATGACCCAGACCGGCGGGGCGCCGGCGCGCGCGCGCCCTTGCGATCAGCTGAGCCCGCGCGCCGCCCGGCCGGCGCCGCGCGGGCCTCGCATTCCTGGCGTGGTTGTCAAGGCTGGACGGCGCCCGGGCCGTCTGGCGGCCGCCAGGCCGGGCGCGCCCGTTACGACACGCGCGCCCGCGCCCGCGCCCGCGCCCGGGCCGCGCGCGCGCCCGCGCCCGCGCCGCGCCCGCGCCCGGCCGCCGCGGCCGACGCCCGCTGGGACACGTGATTTACTGCATCGGCGGCAATCGGGCGACAAACCGCAATCTGTGTCGCGTGAGTTGCGACGCTGGCGGCGCGGCCTTCTGGGTCAGCGCCGTGTCGACACTGGTCGGTCGTGACATCCTGAGACGCTGGACCAGGTGTCACTCGCGCTCGACCCGCCCACGGCTGCTGCTCCTGATGCCCACTGGCGGCGGCAGATGGCTGGACGTTGTCTAGTACAAAGACGCTTTGACCTGCCAGGGTTTACAGTGAACTGCTTTGGCAGCGGGTTGAGAGATTCGAGCAAACCCGAGTCAATGGTGCTTGGCATTTTCCGAAGTGAAATTGCTTGTCCGTATTTCGTACCCCGTCGGATAAACCAATAGCGAGATGCACACCGATGCTAGGCATTTTAGCTGCATTTTCGCTCAATTTCCGTGGTATTAGCGCGACGGGCACTGGGTCGAGGTTTAGCAAAAGATCGGAACGCAGTTCGAGTAAGTGGCGCCGGCTTCACACCCCCGGCCTGTTGTGAGCCGCACTACCCCGTACATCACGGAGCCACGCCGTTTGGTGTCATTAATCAGAGGGCAACTTCCCACCAAACCACCTGACGTCCGGAGGCGGACGAGGCGGCACGCGCCCGCCAGTGGCGCGGCCTCTGGCGGCAGCCGCGCGACTCCGAGAGGCCTGCTGCGCCGGCGGCAGGAGAGGGCTGGCAGACGGTCTGCGGGACACTGAGACGGACGGCAAGCGGGAAGTGGAGGGAGGTCGCCCGCGCCGTGTTGGCGTCACAGCCTCCGTCGGTGCCGCCCAGCTCGGGCGGAACTCGGCGCGGCGGGCCGACGGAGAAGCCTCCTGCTCGCCTTGGCCGCTGGGCGCCCGCCCTCCCACCTCCGGCGAGGCCCGGGCCTGCACGCTCGCCCCCCCCCCCCCATCCCCGGCGCCCGCCTTCCCACCTCCGGCGAGACCCGGGCCTGCACACCCGCCCTCCCACCCCCGGCGAGGCCCGAGCCTGTACACCCGCCCTCCCACCCCCGGCGAGACCCGGACCTGCACACCCGCCCTCCCACCCCCGGCGAGGCCCGGGCCTGCACACCCGCCCTCCCACCCCCGACGAGGGCCGGGCCTGCACGACCGACAGCCAGACGCCCCCGAGATCGCTCGTGTCTCACCAGCACCACCTGACATATACGCCGGCACCCGCCAGTTGATGAGATGGATCGGGGGTTAGCTCTCGTTCAGGAGGTTAGGGCCGATTGTGGCGCTATTTTCTGTGAGGCGGTGCTAGCCCAAGCTGTAGCCTGATCGCAATGATGGGTTTTGGGTTTAGAAGTTTCAGGCTTCAACATTATTGTATCGTTCGCAACTTTTCTGCTGCATGCGACTGCCAAGGACCTGCGTTCGAGGAGCGCCAGTTTTCACAACGTGGCCACGAGCACGGCAGTTCGATCATCGCAATGCGCGGAATAGTTCTCCTTTTGATAAAGTTCGGGACTAACACCAAACTTCTGTATTTTTTTATTACCACATGTGCCAACCCCATACCTATGACCATTATTATCAGTCATTATTGGCGTATTAGGGAGCATTGTTTGCAGAGTTCACTGTGCACCCAAACCTCCCATCTAAAGAACCGTCGATAACATCACTAAATTTGGCACAGCACCCTCGTCGGCTGCCTGCACTCCACCATCATGGGAAGGATTGACGGGGCCGGTTGTTGTCGGGTTCAGGGCGTGTTGCTTCACCTCGTGCCCGTGACTGCAGGACGGCGAGGCTCCGCCAGCGGACCGTGACGCCGGCGGTATCGCAATCCGGCGCCACCGCCAGCTGTCGTCCCGCGCCGCCCACCCCGTCACGGAGGCGGGCCGCCGTCTCGCTGGCTCGCCGTCCCGCTGTCTCGCTGGGTTCGTCCTCCGCTGTCCAGGACAAAAGGCATCCTTTGTTCGGTTCAAAAGGCGGGAGTCTTGCTAATGGCGGCTCCTGCACCACTGCTCTGTCGATACCCGCGTTCAACATGTTCCTCTGTCCTCGCCCCCCCCCCCCCTCGTTCCTCCGTGCTGACTGTCTTCGCCGTGCACGGCTCGACAGCCTGATCCGAAAGAAAGCTGAAAAGCTGGCAGACGCCAACTAAATTATTCGATCCCAGTAAGGTGGCAAATAAGTAGCTGAATTAAATTAGATCACTTTATTGACGCCCGAATGGGTGGTGGGCCTATTGCTCAATCACCACTGTTGCCCCGGTTTATGTTGAGCTTGTGGCATGACTGAAACGTACAGGGACTGACAAAGTGGTTAGCTTGAACTCTTGAAGCACATTTACACACATTTTCCAAATTTACCAACGTCAATATTATCCGTTTGTTCCGCCATCAGTATGACGCACATTGGCCACACCTTCCAACCTCGACTTCTGTCCGCATCTTCGGCCGCGTTGCCGTCTTCCACGCCGGTGTCCGTGTCAGTCCGTCTCCTCGCATCCCTCCCCCCCCCCCGCCCTCACCCTCCCGCCCAGGCGGCCAGCACGAGCCGTCGCTCCAGGTTAGCTGTCAGCGACGAGGCGCCGCCTGCCGGGCACTAGCCTCCCCCGGCGCCGTTGTGAAACCGCCGCCCGCCGCGGAGCCCGCGCTCCACGGAGCCCGAGGAGCCGGACAGCATCGGGCCGTCGGCGCGTCCATTCGGGGGGGGGGGGGCGCTCGAGCGTTACAAGAGGGTGCTCGTCACGCCTGAGAGCGACACGCTGGGCTGTCCGCCGCCGCTGGTCAGCCGGCGATCGGCGCACGCGGAGCCAGCGCCGGCGGCGGCGGCGTGTCGCCACATCGCGGTTTCGACAATGCCTCCCCACGTGCTATGTGTTTGTGTGAAGGGGGGGGGGAGGGGGCGGGAAACTTGGTTAGGCGTGGCGTGCCCGCCCGCTGCGCTGCGAAATACACGCAGAGGCGTGTCCAACACAGATATTCAAGGTAGAAGACCCGGAGCGCTGCTTACTGTCAAGGTCATCGGACATACGCGGTCACTGCCAGCGCGATGAACTGTCAAGGACGCCTGCTTACGCGTACTCTATAGACAAAAATATGTTTCATTATGTTCATTTGCTCTGTGGAGCGGAGTCTGGTCCAGGTGTCCGCAAGCCCCCGGTTCCGATGGGAAATAACACCGGCCACGGCCGTGCTCTTGCATGATCTACAGGTGCCTGCTGAGACACAGCCCTCCGCAACGGAGCGTGGCCTCGTCGGCTAACTGGCGTCCGTGCCGACAGATCTTCTACTGGACGCACCTGCTCAGCATCCCCACCTGGGTACTGCTCATCCTGCACTCGCCCAACTTCTGGAAGTGGTTCCTGCTGCCGGGCGCGCTGTTCGCGCTCGAGGTGGCCTGCCGGATCAGCCGGGTGTGCAGTGACCGCGGTCGGTCCACCGTCACCTCCGCCACACTGCTGCCCAGCGAGGTGAGCCGCCGCCGCCGGTCACAACCGGGCCACAGCCGGGCCACGGCACATACTGAGACTGGGGGGGGGGGGGGGGCGCCAGGTCAAACGACCGACGTTTCACGGGAGCCACACGTGCATATATGCACCAGAATAGATATGTTAACTGAAAATGGCAGCAACGTGGTGCCAGTGGCATCGCTCCTGACATTCCATGGCCAGCTTACCGAAGGGCAACACGAGGAAAGTGCAGATCGGTAAGGCACTCATGAGCATTGCAACCGATTTGAGCAGCCCCGCAGCGGCACGATATGCACACGGCAATGAATACAAATGTCATGCTTTGGGACCGGAAGACGTCCGTGGGGAGGCCGGCAGTCACTGTCCCTGGGCAGCATCTGGGACAGGAGCTCGGAACACCCCAACCCGCCAGCTGCTGTCGAAGGATAAGCCAGGCCGACGGGCGCGGAGGCCGCTGAGCTGGCGCTGCGCCGCCGCCCCCCTCGCGCACGCCGGTCCACGTCCCCGCGGACGTGGACCGGCCCTGGGCGCCGCGCCGGCGGGTGACACCGACGGTCATGGCGCGAGCCGGGCTCGGCGTGACCGGGCGCCTCCCCGGCGTGACCCCCGCCCCGCCCCTCCGCCATCTGGGTCGTGCTGTCGTGGCCGCGCGCACCCGCTGCCGCCGGGATAATGGATCCGTCGCGCCGCTGGCCAGGCTCGTAATCACCGCCCGTTACGCCACGGCGCGCTGGGTCAAGCGGCGCGCAACGCGATTTTGGCGGGCGCTGATTGGTCGGCCGCTGATTGGAGCGGCGCTTATTGGGCCGCGCTTAGATCGGTTTCGTCAGCTGACACTCGGGGTGGAGGCGAGCAGGCTCCGGTCCTCCAACGAGACACAGCTCGCTCTCCAGGGGAAATCGTGCCAACCCGCGGGCCGGCTCAGTGCCGGCGCGTCGCGTCGAGCGTGCGTGCTGCTGGGCGCTCCGAGAAGGCGAGAGTCAACATAACAGACCACAGTGCGCTGCCCGGCGACTGGGAGCGCCGCGGCGAAACGCTTCCTGGTCTCCGCCGGCGGTCTCACTTTCCTAAGCGGGGTAGTCATGCGCCCTGCACTCGGCGGGCTTTCACGCGGCTTGAAGGCGCACGATAGCGCTGCTCCTGAGCGGGGCGCCGGAGGACGCGGCGCCCTGTCACGACCTGGGCGTGCTCCGGGTGACCGGAGGGCGTGGCGCCCTGTCACGACCTGGGCGTCCTCCGGGCAGCGCCCGTCCTGTACGGGGCGCCGGGCCAGGCGGCCGGATGGCGCAGCGCCCTGTCACGACCCGGGCGTCCTCCGGGCGGCCGGAGGGCGCGGTGCTCTGTCACGACCTGAGCGTCTCCTGGGCGGCTGGAGGGCGCGGCGCCCTGTCACGACACGGGCGTCTTACGGGCGGCGCCCGTCTGTACGGGGCGCCGGGCCGGGCGGCCGGAGGGCGCAGCGCCCTGTCACGACCTGGGCGTGCTTCGAGGCCGCGGATCGGACCGGGGCGTGCAGTGACGACTGCGGGCGCGTGGCCTGACTGGCCGGTTATTGCGCCGCTGGGTCGGGGTCGGGCCGGCCCTCAGCGCACACGGCGGCTCGAGGCTGCCCTGACCAGCCACTCTGACTCGGCCGAACTAGATTGGGGAGGATGACTGACGCAAAACAGAGGCCTATGACAAGTGGCCTCGTTTGACGCAATCATGTGCTATGACCACGCCGTCGGTCATTGTATAGTCACGCTTGATGACTCTGTGACGGCACGCTCGTTCTTGACCTGGTGTCACCACACGCGCAGTTCGGCAGCGGCAGAACTCGGCAGGTTACTTGGTGTAATGCACACTTGAATCCAGATTAGGGTGCATTCATTGAAGACGATAAACCGAGACACAAAGCTTCAGAATCATTACTATTTAGGGTACCAGAACCGGTTGAAAATGTGAGGGTTTTTAGCACGGCACCTCAGCTTTACTTACAAGCCCGTTGAAATGTCTTCCTTGCTATATTACGTTCAACCGCGCTCAAAATGACACCCTTGCGCTCGATGTGCGTTGCGCCTGGTGTTCCGTCTTTCACGGAGCATGGCATGACACCGGCCGTGCGTGCCCCCCAACCTGGTGTGTGCTCCCCGCCCTTGTGTCTTCACCCCCGACCCTGCTTGTGCTCCCCCGACCTAGTGTTTGCACCCCCGATCTTGTTTGTGCTCCCCCAGCCGGGTGTATGGTCCCCCGACCTGGTGTGTGCTTCCCCGCCTTTGCGCGTGCTCCTCCGGCCCGGTGTGTGCCCCCCCCCCCCTCCGACCCGGTGTGTGCTCCCCCGACCTTGTGTGCGCCTGCCACAGGTGGTGCGTCTGACCGTGTCACGACCGCCCGGCTTCCTGTTCCACCCGGGCGACTTCTGCTACGTGAACATCCCGGCGGTGGCCAAGTACGAGTGGCACCCGTTCACCATCAGCAGCTCGCCGGAGAATAACGGTACGTCGAGCGGTCAGGCGGCCTGGGCCTGGCACCAGTGGTCTGCGACCAGGGGCACAGCCAGAGCCCTGGCGGTCTGAGGCCTGGCATCGGTGGTCTGGGACCGGGGGTGCAGCCAGAGCGCTGGCAGTCTGGGGCCCGGCACCGGTGGCCTGGGACCAGGGGCGCAGCCAGAGCCCTGGCGGCCTGGGTCCGGCACCGGTGGCCTGGGACCGGGGGTGCAGCCAGAGCCCTGACAGTCTGGGGTCCGGCACCGGTGGTCTGGGACCAAGGGCGCAGCCAGAGCCCTGGCGGCCTGGGTCCGGCACCGGTGGCCTGGGACCAGGGGCGCAGCCAGAGCCCTGACAGTCTGGGGCCCGGCACCGGTGGTCTGGGACCAGGGGCGCAGCCAGAGCCCTGGCGGTCTGGGGTCCGGCACCGGTGGCCTGGGACCAGGGGCGCAGCCAGAGCCCTGTTTGGCTCCGTGTTGAAGTCCTATATAATATGGGCAGGGAACCCTAATAAGAGAGCTCTAAAAGCACTTTGCCTGATAGTTCAGGTCACGACACTACGGGTGAGGGCTGGGCCCGAGTCAAAGCGGGCCCATTAATGTTTAGCTCCGAGGGGCTCCGAGGGCCCCTCTTCCGACCATTGCAAACACAGCTCTGGCGATTCGGGTCACTTGCCGACACAGGTCCCATGGTAGGCACTGTGTGCCACTGACCGACACCCTCATGGCTTCAGTGACCCCAACTAATGCAGATCGCGGGCCCGGACTTCCTTGTCCTCGGGAAATGGGCCCGCAGGGCTCAGACCGATACGTTGCCGACTGTTCGGTGTCGGTGGTTTTTGGCCCAAATAGGGGTCCGTACTGTTCCATGGGTCCCCAATCGAATCGCGAGGCCCTCTGACTGTCATTTGAGGTCACGGTCTTAGGGGCGGGGCGTCCTTAGCGAGACTTACGCCAGTTCTTCGGGCCCTTCAGCCTTCCAATTGGGCCCTTGACTTCTGGTTCCGAGGGGCTATTCAGCCTCCTCGGACTTCCTCAAAAGCCCGTAACAGACTCGGGGCCACCAGCCGACACGTGACTCCGGGGAGGCACCGTGGTCTTCTGACCGATACAGGGGCTCCAGCCATTGTTTCGGGGCCCAGACCAATGCAAATCGTGGTCCCGGCCTTGCTCCTGCTTCGGAACTGGGCTCCCAGGGTTCAGACTGACAGCGAATCAACTGTTCGATATTCGTGGTCTCTGGGCGACCGAAACACCCGCATTGAGTCAGAGGGTACTCACACGGTGCAGAGGGACATCTGGCTGATATTTCAGGTCACGAAACTATGTGCCCTGATTCTTCGTGACCAACAGTCAGCCCTTTGGGCCCTCATGTCCTTCAACCAGGCCCTTGATCTTCGGTTCCATTAGGCCACCCGGGCCCTTCTTCGGGCCTCATCGAACCCTGCCCTTGGTCGGCTCGGGACCCTTTGTAAACACAGGAACCCTGTTAAGCGCCGTGGGTCCCTGCCAGACGCTGGGGCCCCAAACCAGTGCAAATCGCTGATTTCGGCTTTGTCCCTGCTGGGAGATGAGCTCTTTGGTGCACACTGACACGGGGCCGACTGTGCGCGACTAGTGGTGTCTGACTGTGCGCGACTGGTGGTGTCTGACTGTGCGCGACTGGTGGTGTCTGACTAACATATAGGCCCTTAGGGACTTAGGGGACTCCAGTCAGCGCGCAGAGCCCTCTGGCTAGCATTGGGTGTCAGGCCCTGCGGGCTAGGGTCCCTGAATGCGATCTCCGGCCGGCCCTTCGGGCTCTCAAATCGGACCCTTAATTGTAAGTCACTTTAATTGTAGGACCCTTAATTGTAAAAAGGGCGCGAAGGGCCCCTCTGAACCCAGGGGTGGTACGCGTACCCCTCCCCCTCCCGTGCCTGAGCCACTGTCTGGGACCTGCGGTCGCCCCGGGCCGCCGCCGCACCGGTCGCCGGTCCCACGGCAACCGTCGAGGCAATCGTGCTCTTGGAGTAGGGAGGGTGTTACGCTTCCCGACATATGCGCGTGCTGTATCATGCTATGTCAATGTTTCACTCGTACTTGAATGTGTCAAGGATGACAAGGAAGAAGGTTGGGGAAAATAGGGGAAGGAAAAAACAAAACACCAACTGTACCATGCATAGAAATTAGGAATCACGAGTGATGGTTTTCCGAAAGGAATGCCTTGTTGGCACCTGTTCACCATATCAAACCGACGACTGACCTGACTACATTGGCGTACTCCTAGTTGCATAACGTCATACACAGCAGTATACGAAGAGTTCGTTCTTACTTCATGCAACTGCATACTCGAAAAGTGTATGCTCAGATGCACATGACTGCGTACCTCACCTTGCAAAGGGTACTCGTAACCTCGCCGTCACCGACACGTGCCTCCCCTTCAAACGCATGCAACCACTCCACCTGTTCAAAGTCTGGACTGCTTCACTGGAGGGTTGCAGCCGTCTGCTGCGGCAGAGGGCGCAGGGGAGGTAGGTTCGGCTCATAACGTTCACCATTGCGCTCGGCCGGCGTCATTGCAGACCAGATCACCTTCCACATCCGCGCCGTCGGCGAATGGACGCGCAGCCTGCACGACAAGGTGCTGGAGGCCTGCCTCAAGTCCTTCCTCTACGACCAGTTTGTGCTGATGAAGGCCACGGCCACTACGATGGCGGTGCCGGCCGAGCCGCCGCCGGCCACCGTCGAGGAGGTGGCGCCACCGTCGGCGGCGACGGCGCCACAGCGGCGCTCGGGCGCCACCGCCGTGCTGCCGGCGCACCTGCGGCGGCTTGAGTGGCTGCGCCGCGGCCGCGCCAATTCTACCAGCTCCACGAAGGGCATGGTCTCGCGCGACGACAGCGAGGTCGACGAGGTGACGAGAGGCGGCCGCGACAACGCCGGCTTCCAGGCCGAGGAGGAGGCCGAGGAGGCCGGCGCCGCCGGGCTGCGGCCGCCGGCCGAGCGGGCTGAGCCCGGCGAGCCCGGTCGAGACGACTCGAGTCGAGACAACTCGAACCGGGACGGGTGCGCCGGCTGCGACGCGGCGCCGGCGAGCGGGCGGACGGACGGGATGGAGGGCGCGGCGGAAGCGCCGGCGGAAACCCCGACGCTATTGGCGCGCCGTGGCGCCAACAAAGCCAGCACGGTCCGGCGCAGGCAGGAGAAGAGTCTACAGCACGGCTCGGTAGACAACATTAGCTGGAAGGTGAGAGCATGGATGAGTGCGCAGCGGACTCCCAACATTCCACACAGTGATGCGTCATGAGTCTTTACCGGCGTTTCCACACACCGGCAGCGTTTTTCCTTCCTCGAACCCGAACAACCAACCACCCGGGTCCCACACAGGCCCCGATACATTGGCGAATATAGCGCTGGTCAGTGTTCTTTTTCTTTTTTGGAATTGAAGAACACTGCCAAAATCGATAGACAAAATGGTCTTACTTAGAATTAAGTGTGATGCACGACAACCGACTTGTTTGCCTGTATCGTCCCACTTATTTTGAACTAGACTCGCTGACTGTAACAGGAAGGCATCATGGTCCACTCTTCAAATATACCCTTAACACTGCCATGCCAACGGCCTCATTGCCTATGTGAAATACTGTAGCTTGGAGACCTCGGTGCCAGATTTGGCACGAGTTTGGCAAAGTCAGAGACAGAGGACGGCGTCATATCCAGCTTGGATGTGAGGGAACTTCGCGAAATAACTGGCGCCCAATCCCCTTCAGATAATTCTGGACGGGCCCTATGGTGCTCCATCTACCAGCATCTTCCACGCGCAGCACGCCGTCCTAGTCGGTGGTGGCATCGGCGTAACGCCCTTCGCTTCCGTCCTCCACTGCATTGTGGACCGGTGAGTCATGAGTCCCCTGTGCACTAGAGACCGGTGAGCTGTGAGTCATCCACTGCATTGTGGATCGGTGAGTCATGAGTCCCATCTGAACTACAGACCGGTGAGCTATGAGCCCTTCACTGCATTGCGGGTCGGTGAGCCATGAATCCCCTCTGCACTACGGACCGGTGAGTTATGAGCTCTCCACTGCATTGTGGACCGGTGAGTTATGAGTCCCCTTCTGCACTGCGGATCGGTGAGCTATGAGCCCTTCACTGCCTTGTGGATAGGCGAGTTATGAGTCCCCCACTGCACTGTGGTACTGGTGGGTTGTGAGTCCTCCACTGCATTGAGGACCGGCTGAGCTCCCCACTGCATTGTGGACGGATGATTTATGAGTCCCCCTCTGCATTGCCGACCAGTGAGTTATGAGTCATCCACCGCATTGTGGGCCGGCGAGTTACGAGTCCTTCACGGCAGTGTCGCCAGGAGAACATTCGAGAGGGCACCGAATGTATCCGCTCCCCCCCCCTCAAATTTTTACCCATGTTTATCGTTTGCCTGTGAATAATTGCTGACTGATAAATTGAAGCAGACGCGTAAAAAAACAAGAAGACAAAACACGCAATGTTATTATGAGTTATGCAAGGAATTATGCGCATCTGTGTCGTGCGAAATTTTATGTGACAAGGTTTTGGTTTTGTCGACCCCCCCCCCCCCCCCCAACTGCGCAATCCTGCACACGTCCCTTATCGTTGCCAGGGCGTTGGTTGTGTTTTTGAGCGTCTTGTGGACCGATGGATCACACTCTTCACTGCACTTTGGGCGGGTTGGTCATCCGCAGTATCGAGAACCGGTGGATTGCATCCTCCATTGCGATTTAGACCAGCGAGTTACGTGTCCCTTGCCACATTGTGCACAGGCGAGGCATGGGCCATCCGCTGTATGGTGGGCTGCTGAGCTGAGCATCGTTCGGTACGCTGTGGGCCAATGAGTGAAATCTCCCAGTGCATTGCGGACAGTTTAGTTGTGCGTATCCACTGAATTGTGCGTAGACAGGTTACCTGCATCACACCGCGGACCGTTGAGTTGTTTACTGTACTGCCAACCGGTTAGTACGTGTGCTTTGGTGTGTGCCTTACTGGTTAGTACAGCTCTTCACGGGTATGATTTTCTGCACCTTATCCACCCGCTACGCATGGGATATCCCCATACACACCCATGGTCACCTGCTACGATTTGGTATCAATTGTATACGCTCATCTATTTTCTCCCAGCGCTTTAGCCGTAAATTATGGAATGGTTTCAGGAAAGTTTTCGAAAAGCGTAGTGTTACACTTCCCCGTTGTTAGTTGCAAGAGAAGAGTGACTGTAGTCAACTATGAATAAAATAAGCGCAAGCACTAGTAAAGTGCAGCATTCTTGCATTATCCCCTGACGCTACGTAAACGTCTTGTCCATACCTACCCGTAATTTTCCCAACATCTGTGCCCAATGAAGGTCGTTACCCATTCCACGTGGCCATTCATGGGTTTACCCAGTCCTGAAGTCCTCTCTGGTTGCCTACGTGTCCACATTGTGTACCAATGAGTTGCGCACTGTTCATCGTACTGGGGAACGATGAGTTGCGCACTGTTCACTGTATTGGGGAACGATGAGTTGCACACTGTTCGCTGTACTGCGGACCGGTTAGTCGCGCAGTGTTGGCTGTATTGTGGACCAGTGAGGTACGTACCATTTATTGCATTAGACACCACTAAGTTGTGGCTTCCAATGCGTTGTGTACCAATGATCAGTATTCTTCCGTGGTATTGACCGCTGTGTACCAATGATCTGTATTCTTCCGTGGTATTGACCGCTGTGTACCAATGATCTGTATTCTTCCGTGGTATTGACCGCGCGTCATGCGCGCTTCGCTGCATTGTAGCCCGGTGAGTTAAGTGACCTCCCTTTACTGTGGGCAGTAAGCTATTTGTTCGTCTCATCTGCATCGTGGACTGGTGGGCCACATCTCTTGACGTGCACTGCGCGCAGGTGAATCATCCATCTATTGCACTAAAGACTGATGGATTTCTCGTCCCCTGCTGTGACGTGAGGCCTGCGTGGCCAGTGACGTGAACTTTCTTATGAGTCGGTGAATTCTGATGAGTCATCCACTGTGTCCTTGCCTGGCACTTCGCCGTGTCTGGCGCTCCGGTCAGTACGCTAGGCAATCGCCACCTGTCGTCCCGCCCCTGGTGGGGCCAGGGTCAGTCAGCGCCCCAGAGTACCGCTACCCAGGGTCAGTCAGCGCCCCAGAGTACCGCTACCCAGGGTCAGTCAGCGCCCCAGAGTACCGCTACCCAGGGTCGGTCAGCGGCCCAGAGTACCGCTACCAGGGTCAGTCAGCGCCCCAGAGTACCGCTACCCAGGGTCGGTCAGCGCCCCAGAGTACCGCTACCCAGGGTCGGTCAGCGCCCCAGAGTACCGCTACCCAGGGTCGGTCAGCGCCCCAGAGTACCGCAGGGTCGGTCAGCGCCCCAGAGTACCGCTACCCAGGGTCAGTCAGCGCCCCAGAGTACCGCTACCCAGGGTCAGTCAGCGCCCCAGAGTACCGCTACCCAGGGTCGGTCAGCGCCCCAGAGTACCGCTACCCAGGGTCGGTCAGCGCCCCAGAGTACCGCTACCCAGGGTCAGTCAGCGCCCCAGAGTACCGCTACCCAGGGTCGGTCAGCGCCCCAGAGTACCGCTACCCAGGGTCAGTCAGCGCCCCAGAGTACCGCTACCCAGGGTCGGTCAGCGCCCCAGAGTACCGCTACCCAGGGTCGGTCAGCGCCCCAGAGTACCGCTACCCAGGGTCGGTCAGCGCCCCAGAGTACCGCTACCCAGGGTCAGTCAGCGCCCCAGAGTACCGCTACCCAGGGTCAGTCAGCGCCCCAGAGTACCGCTACCCAGGGTCGGTCAGCGCCCCAGAGTACCGCTACCCAGGGTCAGTCAGCGCCCCAGAGTACCGCTACCCAGGGTCGGTCAGCGCCCCAGAGTACCGCTACCCAGGGTCAGTCAGCGCCCCAGAGTACCGCTACCCAGGGTCGGTCAGCGCCCCAGAGTACCGCTACCCAGGGTCGGTCAGCGCCCCAGAGTACCGCTACCAGGGTCGGTCAGCGCCCCAGAGTACCGCTACCCAGGGTGGTCAGCGCCCCAGAGTACCGCTACCCAGGGTCGGTCAGCGCCCCAGAGTACCGCTACCCAGGGTCGGTCAGCGCCCCAGAGTACCGCTACCCAGGGTCGGTCAGCGCCCCAGAGTACCGCTACCCAGGGTCGGTCAGCGCCCCAGAGTACCGCTACCCAGGGTCGGTCAGCGCCCCAGAGTACCGCTACCCAGGGTCGGTCAGCGCCCCAGAGTACCGCTACCCAGGGTCGGTCAGCGTCCCAGAGTACCGCTACCCAGGGTCAGTCAGCGCCCCAGAGTACCGCTACCCAGGGTCAGTCAGCGCCCCAGAGTACCGCTACCCAGGGTCGGTCAGCGCCCCAGAGTACCGCTACCCAGGGTCGGTCAGCGCCCCAGAGTACCGCTACCCAGGGTCAGTCAGCGCCCCAGAGTACCGCTACCCAGGGTCAGTCAGCGCCCCAGAGTACCGCTACCCAGGGTCAGTCAGCGCCCCAGAGTACCGCTACCCAGGGTCGGTCAGCGCCCCAGAGTACCGCTACCCAGGGTCGGTCAGCGCCCCAGAGTACCGCTACCCAGGGTCAGTCAGCGCCCCAGAGTACCGCTACCCAGGGTCAGTCAGCGTCCCAGAGTACCGCTACCCAGGGTCGGTCAGCGGCCCAGAGTACCGCTGCAGGCTGCACCCGAGGGCCGATGGGGTGACGCTGACCATAATCGCCACCTGTCGTCCCGCCCCTGGTGGGGCCAGGGTCGGTCAGCGCCCCAGAGTATCGCTGCAGGCTGCACCCGAGGGCCGATGGGGTGACGCTGACCGGTCGTTGTTGCAGGTACAACGCGGCGCACCGGCCGTGTCCGCACTGTACCGTGCCCACCTGCCTCGAGATGCCCTCCACCATGCTCAAACTGAAAAAGGTAACTTCCTTTGGCCGCCGCCTCTTGAGATCAGTGACGGCTGTTATGAGGGGTGGGAGAGCATGGAGCCACGATGGGTAGGGATTGTTGGGAGTCGCGGGTATGCGGCGCCTGCCTTTGAGCTGTTGAAACAATATCACGGGAACATGAAACGTTTGTTATCAGCACCTGCTAAAGTCGTTAAATGTCCACGATCGTTTCACCCATGACTTGACAAGTGCCACACGGTGGCTATCAGATAGCCGAGTTCAAACACTCAAACATCAACTTTTAGACACCCAGCCAAACCACCGAATCTGGCAACAGCGAAGTTCAAACGGAAACTTCTGCAGTGTTCACACACCCCATGCGCGTGCCGCGCAGGAGCGGGCTTCCGATCCGCGGTTCCCCGCAGGTCCCAGTGTCCAGGACATCGCGGCGTTCCACTGGTGGACGCCGACCGCCTCAGACCGTGCCGCGCTGGAGCGCTTCCGTCCCGCAGTTCCCCGCAGGTCCCAGTGTCCAGGACACCGCGGCGTTCCACTGGTGGACGCCGACCGCCTCAGACCGTGCCGCGCTGGAGCGCTTCCGTCCCGCAGTTCCCCGCAGGTCCCAGTGTCCAGGACACCGCGGCGTTCCACTGGTGGACGCCGGCCGCCCCTGACCGTGCCGCGCTGGAGCGCTTCCGTCCCGCAGTTCCCCGCAGGTCCCAGTGTCCAGGACATCGCGGCGTTCCACTGGTGGACGCCGGCCGCCTCTGACCGTGCCGCGGCACCGCAGGTGGACTTTGTATGGGTGAACCGGGACATGCGGAGCTTCGAGTGGTTCCTGGAGCTGCTGCACCAGCTGCGCGAGTCGCAGGAGCGACGCGGCAGCCAGCTGGACAACTTCCTCACCATGCAGCTGTACAAAACCTCCTCCATGCCCATCGTGGGCGCCGTGCCACTGCGTAACGAGGTCAAGCAGGGCCGACCCGACTGGGACAAGGTTAGTAGGGGTGACGCCTGAGGCTACCGTCCTGAACAAGGTCAGTGGGGTAACGCATGGGATACCTGTACGGAACGAGGTCAGAAGAGTGATGCCTGAGGCTACCTCTGAGACGTTCGATGTCGTATCGCTGGTGATGTTGAGGCAAGTTCTCAGGTGACGTCACTGACACTGTCCGTCACTGCCGTGGGAAAGGACATTCGAAGTTCGACACGCTTCGGTCGTTCGAGGGCCGCTGAGTAGACCGGAAATGGATGGCATGATTGAAACCGTCTGTAAAAGAATACTACCGTTTACTAGGTCACCAGGTCGTGACCTTTATTTAACCACCGGTACACCAATTCGCACCATTGCATTCTTAAGATACCACGGGCGCGTGGCCACCCCCTCAGAAGCCTGTCGCGGTTAGCGAGCGCTCCCCGCAGGGATGACCTGGCGCCGCCACTCCCAGCCCAGTGACATTCCCCGTGCCGCGACAGGTATTCAGCCAGATCCGCGATCGGAGACAGGGCAAGGTCACGGTGTTCTACTGCGGCCCTCCCACACTGGGGAGCGTCATCCGAGAGAAGGCGGCCAAGTATAGCTTCGGCTTCGTCAAGGAGATGTTCTGAGGCGCCGCATTAGCCCCTGCGCCTGCTGTGAAAACCTAGTGCCATAGGACGTGCGATGATTCTACCGCGTGATTGCAGACCATATTTAAATGACCCCTGTGGAGAGCGAGACCCGTGAGTAGTGCTCTGACGATCCGGCGCGCATCAGTGAGCGCATGTGGCAACAATATTTACAGTGAGTGGAGGCAGGTGCAAAGTGATATGAACGCTTGTGAACCATGTGTCGCGCGCCTTTACTGGGCTGGAGCGTGCGAATCGCTGAATGCTCGACTGCTGTCAGTTGCTCAGCGCTCCTAGTAGCCCATGCCGACGAATGATACCTAGTATAAGTTGTGTGATTAATTACCTATTCAGACGAGCAGCTGAACACCTCGGTAGTGGCAAATTTTGTAAGGCTATGCACAATGTGTGTGTTTGTATTCCTGTGATAAAATAAAACACTACGTGTTTTCGGCGAAATGATGTATGTGTAAGAATCAGCATGGGTAACTGATGGGCGTATGCAAAGGGGCTGTCCACGTTCAGAAATGATGATGTACTCAAATGCGAACTATAGTAGCTATGTTTCATCCAAATGTGTTCTAAACGTACTCACGCCAGGTCCCCAAAAACTGAGGTCTTAAATGAAATTAGTGACTCTCTTGGGAACAAGCAGTTCTCTGTATCAATGGCAACCACGCACCTTTCACGACTACGCACATACACGCACATACATATATATATATATATATATATATATATATATATATATATATATATATATACATGTTCACGACGATCAAGATTGGCTGCCATCAAATCACGAAGCTCAAAACCTCTCATAATGACTTACTGTTTACTTTACTGCCAACGTGTAATCCTATAATCTATCAAGATGCAGTGAAACTCATCCGAACTTTAACACCACTGCTGGTGTTATCGGTGACTGACGGCATCATTTTGCCCAAATCCGCCATTCATCTACAACGGACACTCCCTGCGATTGCGCATCTTGATCAACACAACACGGTACATTGTTGACTTAAGTCTCAAATTCGAATGAAACACAAAAAGCCTCAAAACTTACATGGCGGCCAATTGTATTTCATTTGAATTTAAGTCTGAGTCTTAAGTCTTAAGTCTAAGTCTTAAGAAATCAACAGTGTGCCGTATAGTATTGACGAAGGGTACCTAAGCTACAAAAGGACGCCAGCGTGCAAAACCCAATTGCCGGTTTCAATCGTTCGGCAAGAAATACGGAGAAAAATAATGTCACGAGCTGGGTGCAGCCACAGTCCGCCGCAGAAGTGCTTGTTATGTTGGCGCTTACAAGACGAACAGCAACTTGCTTGACTTCAGTGCTGATTATCTACAGTGTATGTCATATGTTAGCAGTTACCATGATTTCGATGGCAACTACAGGTCCGATGATCTCGCTGTGTACAGGCTAGGCGATGATACTTTTGATTGAGCACGAAATGCAACTCGCGAACATATTACAGTGGAACCATGACGTTCAGGTGTAGTGACGTGCATTGCGAGTCCGCCGTCCGAGAATTCATACCATAGAACTTTAGCCTCAAGCATAATTCCCGCAGACGCTAAACCCCAACGATGGTCCATCATGTACAAAATAACTTGGGGATGGTGGTGTTCTACAGCTTTTTAGCCGTCATTAACTCAGCAGTGTTCGTTGCGACGCTGTTCCTTCGCGACAGCGGATGGATCATGGCCGCGACATCTGGTTTAGGTAAGGAGTTTACGGTGTGCAGTGAATGTTGTTTTGGCGCGAGACAAAACCACATGCTTTTTAAGGTGCTATCGCAGAATGCCGGGTCGAGGTCAACACATAAAAGTGTAACTTACCTCCTAACACGTGGCGAGTGTCTTATATGTTCATGCTGGTGAATTCAGCGCATTGTACCTGCCCATCTAAATAGTAGTACGATCATGACACAACGGCTCACGGTGCGCATATCTGTGTCATATATCGACACACGGCTGTTTGACAATCGGAAATTCGCCCGTATCATCGACGGCAATATATTGACAGATATGTGACGACCACTCCCAGGGAAATGTCTCCTGCTGGATTCCGCCCTTCTCCCCATCACCGTGTGTCGCCGTATCCTTGCGTGGGTTCGAGAGACGCCACTGCATGCCTTCTCCCCGTTGAACAACCACAGGAAGGTCCACAGAATCATAAGTCTGTCCGTGTGCATCATTTCCGTGGCGCACTCCGCCACGGCCATCGGGCATTATTGTGAGTATCTGTCCAGCTCAAAGGACAAACGGTTCTGGCACTACGCAGGCTTGCTTGACCGATAGGAAGCATCGCTGTCTTATATGGCGAGTTACCCTACTCGTTAGTGTTCCACCCTGGGGCATATTTCAAAAGGGTACTTTAGTGAAACCTGAGAACCAGTTACGTCTAATAAAAGCACTGGGTAGTGTCACTGCAGCACCACCAAGACATGGTAAGGATATCAATTTTATTTGTCTGGCGTCTAAATTACACTGTCAGCAATTTGTAACACCACTACGCCTCTTTCCTGCAGTCGCTACTGCCACCTACATGACAACCACCAAGCGCATATCCAGCAGTGCGAATAAAAAGCGTCCGTGATTGGCCAAGCAGGCGAAGGCGTGTTACCGAGAAACGCATTGGTCGAAGTTTGAGCCAGGGCGTCACATGGATCATGTGATACTTCCATTTCCAAAGCCAAAGTGCGCCGCGAAAGGAGCCACTGTAGTTAACACCATAGGGGAGGAATCAAAGCCATACTAGCACGCGTCGTTGAATTCGTGTGATATTAGCTTCATGTTCGCAATTAAATGTCCAAACACAGTGTTTCAAGCTTTCGTAGCATTAATTGCACAAAAATTATGGCACATTAGTGTGATGCAAACCTCACAGAATATACACGTTGGAAGAAGCCAGACGACTGAAATGCATTACTTTCATAGTGGTGAGCAGGGCGTGACATGAGGTTTCTTCCGTGGGGCGGCTACTTAAAATTGAACTTCTGAGCTATTCCGGATTTCGAGACAACTGGTGATAATGACCAAATCATACGTGTCTGATGTAATGATTAGTGGAAAGTACAAAAGGCGAGATGCTCCCATTAACTAGACTGGCAATTACGTAGCCGGGTAAGGGAGCGAACCAAGGAAACGACGCCTGATTGAACGAGCGCGGGTCCAATGCCAACCGTGCCATCGGTCCCGCCCGAGCCGCCTGCGCCCGATCAGCAACATTTTCCTCACCGGCGATGGTGGGCCGGCGGCCGCGGATGCTTGCTCGGACGCGGAGATGAAGGCCCCGCAGGCTCGCGTGGGCGTCATGGTGCCATAGTCACTAGCGGAGTTCTTGGGCGGCGCGTGGGCCGTCCGCGTCGGGCCAGTATCACCGGGACGCTAGCTCGCCGCTGAGCAGGATGGCGTAGGCCTAGTGCGTGTAGGCCTTTGCACGCCAGTGACTGGTCGTTTGGAAGGACCGAGTAACGAAAATATGGTGAGAGGGGGAAAAAACATCCCTTCTAAAGAGCAAATCCAGGAGAGAGCTAATCAGCTCTCTCCTGGCTTCTAGGCCACCGTTGAAGGGAGACCGCTGCAACACTGCCATGGCATTGAGCCGCAAAACACGCATGTCCGTAGTCAGCCCCCGCTGGGAAAATTCGCTTGCAACTGCTTCCCATGTTTCCGCCGGAACGGTAGCTGTAAAATGATCGAAAACCATTCATAGGTTCGTTTAAAGTGTTTGAAAATTCAGTGCGGTGATGCCTTATCACGCAATAAATCCACTTGATTGTATGACCGAACAGCGTAGCCTCGTGTGACATACCTACGCTGGAGAGCGCGTTCGCACCATACCGTTGCGAGGCACTGTGGGAAACTGAATAACCGTAGTTTAAGCCTGTCTCAGCGATAGGGGGTGGGGGAGGGGTGAGTGTCTGCAAAACACTAATGCGACATCTCAAGCTGTTTCAAAGCCAACTCGGAAAGACACACGCATGAGCCGTCACTAGCCGCTTTCAGTGTTGTACGCCATCCGAGAAATGACGCACGTCACGTGCGTTCGGTAGATGTGAAATCCAGAAAGCCAGGCAGCCCCTCCCTGTTCAGCCTGCTCTTCCACACGTCCCACCGCTTCGGCTGGTTGAACCTGGGCCTGCTGAACATCTCGGGCATCGCTTGCCTCGTCACAATGGCCATCATCGTCGCCACATCCCTGCTCCGGCACCACATGACCTTCCTGGTGAGATACCGGGGCAGCCTCGGGTCTGTGCGCAGATCGTATGGAACACACACGCACGCGCGCGCGCACGCACACACACACACGCGCACGCACGCGCGCACGCACACACGCGCGCACGCACGCACGCACGCACGCACGAACACACACACACACCACACACACACCACACACACACACACACACACACACACACACACACACACACACACACACACAACACACCACACGCACGCACGCACGCACGCACGCACGCACGCACGCACGCACGCACGCACGCACGCACGCACGCACGCATACACACGCACACACACACACACACACACACACACACACACACACACACACACACACCACAACACACACACACACACACACACACACACACACACACACACACACACACACACACACACAACCTGTCTTGAGACATTGTCTGGAACGTTATCATCGGGGGGGGGGGGCGGATACTAGCTTAAAGGGGTGATTTGAAGCGGCAGTTACGTGCACTAAGACTTAGTGTTGATGTGGACTTACCGCTTGAGATAACATGTGTGTTATTATGAGTGTAAAAACGAGCCTGTGCCGGGCTGAACCATCAGCAGGTCCGCCTGCTATCGGCGAGAGTGCGTGCCTTCGTCCACGAGCAGAAGCGCATCTTGCTGCACCTGACCAGGCCCCCAGCTTGGGGCAGGAGCGCAGCGTCACACACCACCCCGTACTCCGGCAGGCGTTCTTCCTGACGCACCAGCTGTACGTGGTGCTGTACGGCCTGATGATCATCCACGCCGGCAACTTCTGGGTATACCTGCTGCTGCCGGTGTGCCTGTGGTCGGCAGAGCTGTTGCTACGCTTCATCTATAGTCCACGACCCTCCAACATTGTCGAGGTTACACTGCTGCCGTCCAACGTGAGTGCCTGTCGGTCTGCGCTGGCTGCGTCCAGTTCCCCTTTCCGGGACCTAGCGGTGACTGTTGCTGCCATCTAGCGAGTGAGGGCAGCAACGATCGGTAGATGGAGCTCTGAGACGGATTGGGCAGGATTCACCGGAGACTGAGACGCGAGAGGCCAACAAGGGATCGTAAAAAGGACCATGAAATGGAACAGCATCTTGGAACAGGCGCATGAACCAACACCACGGCCTGCGGTCCGGATTATATGGCACCGCGCGTGGGAACCATTTGCCACTGGCGGGAATGCGCCCGATGAGTTACATCAGGATCAGACGAAGTGGGTCCGGTAGACTAACAATGTTTCGGCACACTGATGTGATGCCCTACTGCTTTCACGTTTCGAAATACGCGCATTTATTTCACAGGTGATAGTACTTGTCCTGGAGAAGCCCCCTCAAATGATCTTCAAGCCCGGCGACTATGTGTACCTCCAGATACCCACGATCGGCAAGTTTGAGTGGGTGAAATTCACTATAACCAGCGCGCCGGAGCAGCCGGGTATGCTTTTCCTATCCGACACTGTGTGCACGTCAGTCGCGCGGTGAACTATGTGCTTAACGGAAATGGCAAATGGCTATGAGCCTACAATAGTGATGCCGCAATCTTGACGTTCAGGTTCCTTGATCCTCCTAATTTTAGTGTCACGACACGTAATAATACCGTCATGGAGTGCGTAAGCATATGGACTAATCATTACGCTATTGGCAAGACACCAGAGCACCCGCATGGAGCCGCAAATAAATTACATCACGCATGGAGAAGAGGAGAGGGATGGGTGTTTAGTGGACCGTAACTGAGGCGCAGCACGAGATGTGCGGCCGACGTCCAGCGGTGTAACGTTCAGCTCACGCGTCGATGCACAGCACGTCTTTAACAAACGTGTTGGCAGTGTAACCTGGGGAGGGAAGGAGCCCAGCACAACCAGCGCGGGGCCAGTGGCAGGGATTATAAATGACAAAAAGCGAGCCGTGTTTCATGGACGGCACCTATGTCGCTGCATTTCAAAAGCGTCAAAGAACTTGGCCCTCGCAACATGTTTCGAAAGCTTTTAAGCTCTACTCGAAAGCTCTATAAGAACACGTGGAAGCGAAGTGCATTAGCAGAACATTACGCAATGAAACGTCTTTCGAATCACCTTAATAACCTTCATCGAACTTTTGCTTGGCAGACCTGTTAACCGTCCACGTCCAGATTAAGAACAACTGGTCGTTTCGTCTGCGTAACTTCTTCCTCCGCGACGTTTCGTTCCACTACATCCCGCACCGGCTGCACGCGCTCGAGTCCATCACTGTCATCCAGAAGCTGGTCAAGTCCTGGAGGAACATGTTCGGCGGATTCCAGAACATCGAGGTGCCTATGGGCAAGCCCCGTGAAACGAGGAAAGAACGCCTGCAGCGGAATCAGGTGGGCCTCCAGCGGTCAAAGTATGCTGCTGGTAAATTAAAGTCCCGATCAAAGTGGATACTGTGGCAAAATATCCGGCTAGCTCGCAAAAATTACTGCGGTCCACCTGGATTACTGCCGCTACCTGCTGACGCTGTTAATGACCGATATGTTATCACTCACGTCTGCAGGTGGACGCGATGAAAGTGGAGGAGAAGCACCTGACGATGGACGTGGTGCTCTCGGAAGACGACCTGGCGCCAGAGCCCGAGCCCGAGCCGCCCCCGCCTCCGGCCGAGAAGGCGCAGCCGCCGGCGCCGGTCGCCAGCCAGCCCTCCAAATCGACCGCCGCCGCCGTCGCTGCCGCTGCCGTTGCCGCTGCCGCCGGCGCCCCTACCATCACCACCACCGTCTCCGCCACTGCTGACGAGCCGGCGCAGCCAGCGCTCTCCTACACGGCCGCGCGGCAGCACGGCGACCCGTTCGAGTCGCACGAAGTGTCGCAGTTCGGTGGCTTTGCAGTACGGTACTCCGCCTACACGCAGAACTTCGGCAAGACGCTGCACTTCCGCGGTACGGTCGCACCCGGCCAATCGGCCGCCGACCGCGCCCGTTTCCAGAGCGTCAAGCACCACTCGCTCATCCCATCGCTGGAGGTGCGAGACGACGCCAGCGCGTCGATCGGCGAGCCGAGCCGCGAACCGTCACGCACGCGCGTGCCGCGGCCGCCGCTGCCGGCCACCAGCCCCGGCTCGGAGCTGACCAGCGACGGCAGCGCCAGCCCGGCGGCGGCCGTCGAGCGCGTGCGCAGCGCGGCGCCGGTTGGCAGCAGCGTGCCGCGGCTGCCGCAGATCGGCGCCAGCCGGCCGGCGCTGTCGGCGCCGCCGCGGCGCCCGCCGGCGTCCGGGCTGGGGCCGCCTGCCGCGCCGGCCAGCGGCGAGCGCAGTTCTATTGCCGCCTCAATGAGGCAGCAGCGTGACGACGACGAGCGCCGCGATGCGGGCGACGAGAACGGCTGCCTGCTTGATAAAACGGTCAAGGTAAGGCAGGGGCGGGGGAGATGGGTCGGCGGCGGTCGAGGGCCCAGCGACTTCAAGCCCCGGTCGTCCCGTGACCGTTGTGAAGACACGCAAAGCGCAGGTGCTCTAGTCAGACGACGGCGCGAGGCACATGCGCTCGGGGCGCGTACTCAGTATGCTCGTACTGCCGGCGCCAGGTGTTCATCGACGGGCCGTACGGCACCACGGGCAGCGAGCGGACGGGCATCTTCTCGGCGCGGCACGCCATCATCGTGCTGGTTGGCCCGGAGGTCGGCCCGTTCGCCGCCATCCTGCAGAGCATCCTCATCAGGTGTGCGCCCGTGGGGGGGGGGGGGCGTCCCCGGACTGGCCACTGGTGCGGCGCCCTCTCGCGCGGCGGCCGCTCACGGGTGTGGCGTGATTGTGCTATAAGCGCGTTCTGGGCAGTACGGATGGGTGGATCAGGATCGGTCTTGGCCAGATAGAAACCAGGGATAACACGGACGGAGCGGAGATATTTTCCAGCCAGGCAGTCCGTGATACCTATGCTACTAACCATCACCGAGCTGAAAACAATTGGCAGAAAACAGCCGCATTAGAAGCGGCAGCAACGTGGAAGTCGAATACAAGTAGTATAACAGTATGTAACGATATATAACGATATACAACCAATATGCAAACGATACACATCACTTTGTCATGGCGCCATGGCACGACTACTTCAGGTATCGGTCCGAGATCGTTCCCTGTCCAAACTGCGCATGCGAGTTCAAGATGCAACTACCCAGCTCCTTCATGAACATCCGCAAGGTGAGCCTATCGAAATACACTCCTACTGGACGACTGACAATGATCTGCCGTTTGGATCTGCGCGCTAAAAACGCACCAATCTTCTACCGGATGCCAGGTTGTGTTAAATGGGGACAGGGTGGAGCTAGGCACTTGGTTTGTATCAATACCTACCACAGCGTGAACAGTCACGGTGCGACATGGTTTACGATAGAAATGACACAGTGTGTCCTCAAGCGCCAGTATCCGAACAAAGCCCACAACGCAGGTGCTGACACGGTGTCAATGTGCGACGGTGCTGGAGGGGTCGTGTCTGCAGCGCGCCGCCCGCAGGTGGACTTTGTGTGGGTCAACTCCGACATGGAGGGGTTCGAGTGGTTCCTGGAGCTGCTGGACGACATGGACAACTACCAGAAGCGACGCAATCTGCTGGACAATTTCCTCAAGTTCTACCTCTACAGGACGGGCGTCAAACCGATGCCGTCCTTCACGCCACTGCGCCACCAGCTACATCAAGGAAAGCCACGCTGGGAGGATGTGAGTCCCCGGCCCTGGCGCCCATCCAGTGACATCCACTCACAATCGCAGCCCTTGCATGGTGATAATCGGTGTATGGTGAACGCCATACAACCTTCAGCGCTCGCCTTCGCTAAGCCTCTGACAATAACCGGCGTATGGGCGGCGTGACTCTGACAATAACCGGCACATGGGCGGCGTGACTCTGACAATAACCGGCACATGGGCGGCGTGACACTCTACCGGCGGAGCAGCAGCCATGCCTTTGCCACCTGAGGACGGATAGCCCATGCCACCACCCCCGCTCCCGCTCATTAAAAACTCGCAATGACGCCCGCCAGAAACAACGGCCACGGCAGTCCCAGTAACGCTCGATATCTTCTAATCAAACCGGTCGGAAACAAATCGATGTTCATCGTGCTAATGCTTACAACCAGTTCCGGCTCCATGTCGATATGATTTACGTAAAGGCTGGGAGCGGGATATGACCGTTAAAAACCCCATGTCTCCCCCAAACGCGTAAGTCGTGCCACGCCGCAGAGGTAACAGGGCCTGCGCCTGCTGCTCAGCTGCTCAAGCAGATCGTCGACAAGAGCAGCGGCGGCATAGAGGTGTTCTTCTCGGGGCCCAAGACGGCACGGAAGGTGGTGAAGAAGTCGTGCCTCGACATCGGACTCGTGTTCAACACCACGACCTTCTGAGGCGCGACACACGACCAGGCCCAGTCTCGTGCCGCCGTGCCGTCTGCCCACGGATGAGCGGCGGCGCCTCGCACTGGCGTGGCGTCGACCGTGTCAGTGGCGTGGCACGTGGGGCGTGGGACGTGCCGCTGTTTTCTGCGCTGTGAGCCGCGCGCGGGTCGCAACTACGCTGTGTGAAACGCCGTTGATCTGATGTTGCAACATGCTGATTACAGACAGTCTGGCAAAAACGCTGTATTTTACAAAGCACCTAGAACTGCACAAACAAATGCTCTTTCGCTGCACGCAAAGTTAGAAAGATTACCCTAACCCAACGACGCGGCATGACAGAAGAATTCAAAGGAAAGGATACATGTGACTGGAACTGCTAATCTAGCCGATAAAGGCTTCGATGCATGGACCTGCATGGCCTGATTGACAAATGCCATCAGCTGAGAAACTTTTTGTGCGAACTGAACCTCGAACGTCAGTGTTTTACTGCTCAACCACAGGACCTAAATTACATAATTCCAAAGGATGGCAGGAGTGACGATACTGGGCGATCGGTGGCATAGATACCCCTGGGCCCGAAACTACAACAACATAATGGAGCACTGCCATAATGGCGTGGCTACCCTAGACTACCCAAGCATGTGCCAGGCTACCAATGCCATTGTATTGCCAATCAGCCCCATGCACATCGACACTGTATCACAGAGCACTGCTGGGAGCTGAGAGGGACGCGCGACACGCGGTCTGGTGCAGCTTATGCATTCAGATCGAGAAGCGGGCACACCTCACAAGAGTAAGTACATCAAAACAAACATTAAACACATCCGATGCTGTGCGACCGTCAGCGGGCCGCGACGGGCAGCTATTGGTCAGTGCGCCACGAGCCGGCGTGGCGGTGACCCACGGGCCAGGGCCCACTCACCGGCGGCGCGGGCGGGAGGCAGCCGTGCGGAGAGGCGCGCGCGGCGACGTCACGACTTCCAGAAGTTGGGGTTCATCTCCAGCCGGCGCTGGAAGTTCTCGTACCACTTCTGCACCACGCTGAGCGCGATGAAGCACTCGGAGGGCGCCGGCGTCATCTGCGCCTGCGTCAGGCTGAAGCTGGACGCGTAGTTGACGAAGTTTTGCAGCATCTTCTGCGTGAACTCCACGAAGGAGGGCACGCTGGAAGGCTCGGTGGCGTTCGCCGGCGTCAGGCCGGCCACCTGCACCTCGGGCTCGACTGCGATGCCGACCTGCGCGCTGTGCGAGAACTGCTGCACCAGGCCAGATGGCACGGCCGTGGTGCCCGAGCCGCGCTTCAGCGATGCCACCTTAAACACAGCTGATGGCTTGCTGTTGGAGAGGTAGCCCAGATAGATCCATGTTGGTGGTGAGTTGGGCTCTGGCCAGCTGAAGTACACTGGGACACAGTGTTGGAGGTCACACAGCTGCTGCGTGCCACCTGTGTGTGTGCTGTTGTCTGACATCAAGGGTGCCATGATCTGAAGGACAGTCAGCTCAGCAACAGGCACAGCCATCTCTGACATGGTTTCAGTTAAACAGGAGAGTGATGGTACTGTGTGATCTGGTTGTCTGAATGAGCTGATTGCCATGAACAGCCTAGTTATAAAACATGCATCAAAACCTGCAACAAAGCACAACTGGCATCTGATCACTACATACATGTTCCAGTAAGATAGCACAGAATGATGCTAAGCAGATGAAGGTATACTGCTCCCTAGTTTATACTGCAAGCAATGTCATTGAATTTGTGGCAGTTCAATGCATACAAATAGGACAAATAGAAGATTTGTGGTTTGCTGCACCTACTGCAAAATACTCATCCATAATGAGCATATCAGTTCCACATTTAAGCGGCATGAGGCTCCACTAGGATTCTGAACTAACACAGGTCTGGTTACTCACCTCCTGCTGCCATGTCATTGGGGAGAGGCTGGGATCCTGTGAGAAATACAACAATGTGCCTGATGTCATCTGCCTCTTGAACAGTGATGACAAAGTGGGTCTCATCCACCACCTGGAAGTCCGTGCTTACCAAGCGGCCAGCCACAATCATACCAAACACTGAAACAGCCATCTTATGTTCTGAATGTGACAGGATCTGAAATGTGTGATATTGTTATCAGAATATTTGATAGCAACAGCATGCATTGAAAAATTATACAAATCATATTATTGATAGCCAAACCACACACTCGAAAATCAGAGCAACAGGACCTTTCTGAGAACTGATCAAACTTTAATCATAACTGAATCTAAGGAAATTCATCAGGCCAAGTGACTGTAATATTTAGAATAAGACTTCTTTAAAACATTGAGATGCCTTCAAGTCAGCATTAACATACTGCTGAGGAATTCAGTTTACCAAAAGGTTTGCTGCCATGGCCATCTCATGTGGCTGCTCAGCCCCTACACCACACACTGCATCAAACACTATTTTGATCATGAAAAGTAGCTTGGAACATTCCAGAATGCATGCAGGAAAGTCTTAATGCAGATTTTAAGACACTTTTACTGTTCAACTTATCATGTTTATAAACTGCTACACCAGGCATTCAGCAAACTAGGTAAAAGTACAAAGTCCTGCAAAAACAGCTTTGAATATAAATCTGAGTGAATGCAACCTCCCATGTGTCTGGCCACAAATTGGTGTGCACATAACGATGGAAATAAAGCAGTACAATGATATAATGATAAGCCAAAAGTAAGGATTTGAGTCTGGAACTCAGAAATATGCTCACTGCCCCACTTGCTACCTTGAGGCAATCACGCCCTAATGCCCTGAACCCATCAGTCAAAACTCTACACAGATCCAATCCAACTTCAACTGCAGCCATCAACAGCCCAACAGCCAGCCCAGCAAAAAAAGACTAAAAAAATTTGACAGCTCGTCCCGATCCGGGATCTGGCGCCAGCACTGAATTTGACCCAACTAACATGATATCTCCCCAAAACCTAAGACTTGCAGATTATTGGAATACGTCCTGCATACCTCTTCCAGTCGTAATAATAATGTCAGCCACCCTTTAAACCTTTGCTAGCTTTCAGCCTGATCTGAACCACGGCCGGCAGCCTCAGCATCTAACAACTATTACGGACCCCCGCCCACCAACACGCACTGCACAATGTGCGCATTCGTTTACAAATTTTCCAGCTATTGTTTACGTACTTTTATAGTATAAGCCAGTAGCTTATACTATATATGTGTGCTGTGCTAGTACCACTGCCAGGTGGTTTCTAGTAAAAGGTATTTCCGAAGTCTTCAAAAATCGATTTGATATCAATCGCAATCTATGTAGAGCACATTTTGCGAGGGAACTTGCGTTAGCGACTGCAGGAAGAGACATACTACGGTATGTTTTCTAGGTTCTTTCATGCCTTTCATACAATTTGCTCAATAACGACTACTGCATGCTGTTACACTAACAAATTGAGGCAATGCGGCCATAAGTTGATAATTTGTAGCGAATCAGCCATGAAAAAGAGTGACTGCCATGGAACTTCAGCGGCAAAATAGCTCACAAGAGATTGCTTTAAAGAAACCCCAGATATCTTTCTGCAACAATCACAAAAGTGATGCGAATGAGCGAGGCAATAGCCTCAGAGGGCTCGGTGCATAGCGGCCCTATGTCATTTTGAGTCGGGCGCTGGGGGAGTCCAGGGAGTGGTCTGGGATGAAATGGGTTCCATCGCGGGGTTTTCTTGACAATAGATCTGAGCGATGGGATGTTCACGGTTTTGAGCTACAAAATAGGGAAGCGTTTGAACTCCTGGCTGTTCGTGAAGGAGGCCGTGTGCCCAGGTATGTAGCACATACGCCGGTACGAAATGGTTCAGCGGGCTGCGCGCCTCAACTCGTCCTCACCCGGTCCTTTGCCTTTCCCTCCCCTGGACCTGTGAAGGGCTGCATGCAAAACAAGACCAGCTCATGGCCTTTGCATCATCCTGTCATCCAAAACCGAAGCAGAGCATCTTGAAATGTGTGGCTTTTTAGGTAAGCGGCTTTTAAGATCATGTCCTTACTTTTTGAATCAGTGGATTTTTAGGATCAGGGCCCATAGTAGGCAGTGCTTGTATTGGTCCTGGACCCTTTCATCTGCTTGTGAAATTCCAGGTCAACAGCAGAATTTGGGGGCATAAGTTAATCACACCACAATGCATGATCCATCTTTCCTTCTGACATCACTTGAGCTGTTGTGTGGCAGCTGCCACAGGCCATAGGCCATGTCAGTCAACAATGAAAAGTGATTACTTAAAACAACTTGAACGTACCCTACCAAATGCATCTAGAGCTGGACGGCAGGCACTCTAGCCAAATAAGCTATCAGTGTGGACAATCTTGTATAACTGAAAGGAAAAGTAGGAGATTCCTGATCTGGTTTTGTTTAAAGGCAAACTCAGCTATCACAAAATATTGCCTCTGATCATTGGGGATTTATGATGCATTATGCATTTGAGGCTATATGGCATTGCCTGTATCTCAACGTGGCAGGAAGGGTGAGCATAGTTGTGGTGATGGGAGGGTGGGAGAATGGAGCCACATAACTCTAGTTCTATGCAGCTTGACAGCTACACTTTTGCCTTGCCTTCTTAGAAGGTTATGCTGTGATCCACATACTATAGCTCTGGGTTAAGCATTATTTATTATATATATGTATATATATATATATATTCAGTTTTTTTGCTCATGCATAGCTTTATCCACCCAAGTCATCCATATTACCCAGTACACAAAGTATTAAATTTTCTCAAGCTGTTTGTGTATCTCATCCTTGAGTGGATCTAGAATGTCTTGCATCCCATTTGCATGTGTTGTGTGCTCTGTTTATCTATGTGACATGTACTGATGCTGTGTTAGAATAGCCACTCGCTGGATTTCGCTAAGGTTTGCAATAATAATAATAATAATAATATCATCATCATCATCATCATCATCATCATCATCATCATGCCATCTTGAGAGAGAGGCAATTTAGGGAGGGAAGGGCCAAAGAACAAAAGGGATGTCCTAATTTAAAACCTACAAAGTTGAGCAATATGTAATGTTTTGCCTGACTAGTCATGTGAGGGGTCATGGTTTGGTTGCACTCCCTGTTTCTGCCCCAGGGCTCAGCATAGTTCTAACTGGGGAGGCGACATTACACTGCCAGGTGGACACATTGGTGTGTGGGGGGGGGGGGGGGTACAGCTATTCATGTAGAGACTTCTTAAAGGGGCTGGTGTATCCCGATGATCCTCAAGACATCCTTCAGCTGAACAGGTGCATCACCAAGGCAGGCAGGAGATCAGGGCTGAGCTGAGACATGTGAGAGAACTGTCATGTCTGTCCCAAAAAGGGAGGAGCTGTGCTTTGCTTTGAATAGCTCATATCAGTCACATACTTATGGGGGTGGGACCTCACAATGTGCCAGTATGATGGTAGATTGATGATGATGGTGGTGAAGGCTCTTGAATTGTTTGAGAATGTGCTGACCCAATTGTGTTGGGTGTCACATGGCAACTCAAACATTGTGTGGCCATTGGGGCCGGGGATTTGTGGTATCCAGCCATGTAATAAGTTTTGTCTTTCAGCCATCCAAAAGTTTTGATGAAAAGTATTAACCAGTTGGAGAATCAGCTTTCAGTCTAGCCCATCAGTCCAGTTTGCTGTGAGCTTGGCCAACTTTGCATGGTTCATAAGGAAAGAAAATGTTGTGAATAGTCCAAAGTTCTTGCTTTAGTTAATTAATATTCAGTCAGAATACTTGTATTGCTTTAAGAAAGGGAATTTCATGACATTAGCCATTTCCAATCTGCATTCACTTGTATGGTGTGCTGTGAATGAAAACCCATACACTATATTGTCATCACCAACATCATCCTCACATATTTGCCTCTCTGCATGCATCTGTTGAAAACATTGCTGGTTAGTGAATAATAATCTGTCATGCCCTTTCAGATTGTATTTCAGCTGCCCTGGACTGAGAACAGTGGTTATCAAGAATGGTGAGTTTAAATGAGTGCCCGCATGTTGTTGGCAAATGTTAGGAAATCAAACACCATACCTCAGGTGCATTAACCACTACACTGTTGGCAGCCTTAAGAGTATTTCTCCCACAGTGCTTGTACAAAAATGTTCCTGGAATGTTTGTGTGAACAATAAGTTTTCTGTACTTGATAACAACTTGTATGTCCTCTAATAAGTCTTGTGTCATTACAGTATGAATCTTCATGAAAACATTCATATGAAAACCACATCATTTGTTGAAGACTTAACAATGGATAATGTTAACTTTAGAATCGCATGGATTCCATCAACACCCTCACTCAAGAACATCAAGATGCACATATTGCTAGGTTAACAAAACTGGTCCATCTGGGGAAGTGGACTAGTTTAGTTGTTGTTGTGGGTGTTTGCACTGCTCATTCACATGTGTGAATCTTCTTTCAGCCGCGAGGTCCGAAATCAGCACATTCTGAGAGCGTGAAAGTTGTTCTGCGATGTCGGCCCCTGAACAAAAAGGAAGTCGCCAGTGGCTATGACACGTAAGCATGACGTATGAAACACTCCACACAAAGGCTTAGTTAGGTCATACAATTTCATGAGGTGCATCGTCAGTGTCAGCTTGAGATTACGACGGCTCCGTGAAATCAGGCTGGATCCCAGTATTCTAGGTGAAAAAATTGACACTGATATTGATAAGGCAAGCAATATATGTTATTTGTGGTGTTTTGTATAGGGCGATGTTTTTGACGAGCGTGCGCTAGAAAACTACCGTTTTTGATTGAACTAAAAATGACCATGACTTAACTATCACTTTGAGATGTGTTACAGGTCATAACAGGCAACCTTTGTTCCTTGACCTTTATGCATGCTGCTGTTTTGATATCACTGCTGCAGTCTCGATGGTGTTTTCGGAAGATCGGCTTGAACCATCGGATGAGTGCTCCCGTTTATCGGTCGTCGTACATACTTTGCTCCCTAAGTCTACATTTCTCACCGTGGTCTTTTCAGAACGTTGGAGATAGATTCTAAAAGAGGTCACATCACGCTTAAGAATCCGAAGAACCCAAATGAATCTCCGAGGGAGTTCACCTTTGATGCAGTCTACGACTGGAAGTAAGCGAGTGCATACGAATGTGAGGATGTGTGAAAGGTGGGACCTCCATGTGGTCGTGGCCTGATATGGAGGAGCTCACAAGCATTGGTCGGTCATATTCCTGCTCATAGTATTATGCGTAGTCCTTTATAACACCAAATAACAGACAATTATGCATGTCCGGCACGAGAGACGGAAGTCAATTAATGACTTAAAGCTTCTGGTGTTTTGTTATCATCAATCGAGATGCAGTGTCTAATTCCAGCCACATGGATTTGAAGTGCCATAGTTTTTGTCAATGGCAATCACATCAATAGCCTTAACAGTCATGCACCAATAAATGACCCAAACCGACCATATCCGGTTTAGGGTGATGAAGCCTACCTTTCCGCTGTCATCACCCCCTAAGCTGCGCCTGACTGCCGTCGCCCTCTGAGCTGCGCCTCACCTGCTACCACCCCCTGAGCTGCGCCACCATCCCCTGAGGTGCGCCTCACACTGCCGTCATCCCCTGAGCTGAGCCTCGCCTGCCGTCATCCTCTGAGCTGCGCCTCGCCTGCCGTCATCCCCTGAGCTGCGCTGTCATCCCCTGAGCTGCGCCGTCATCCCCTGAGCTGCGCCTCACCTGCCGTCATCCCCTGAGCTGCGCCTCACCTGCCGTCATCCCCTGAGGTGCGCCTCACCTGCCGTCATCCCCTGAGCTGCGCCTCACCTGCCGTCATCCCCTGAGCTGCGCCTCACCTGCCGTCATCCCCTGAGCTGAGCCTCGCCTGCCGTCATCCTCTGAGCTGCGCCTCACCTGCCGTCATCCCCCGAGCTGCGCCTCACCTGCCGTCATTCCCTGAGCTGCGCCTCACCTGCCGTCATTCCCTGAGGTGCGCCTCACCTGCCGTCATCCCCTGAGGTGCGCCTCACCTGCCGTCATCCCCTGAGCTGCGCCTAACCTGCCGTCATCCCCTGAGCTACGCCTCACCTGCCGTCACCCCCTAAGCTGCGCCTCACCTGCCGTCATCCCCTTAGCTGTGCCTGACCTGCTGTCACCCTCTGAGTGCGCCTCACCTGCCGTCACCCCTGAGCTGCGCCTAACCTGCCGTTATCCCCTGAGCTACGCCTCACCTGCCGTCACCCCAAGCTGCGCCTCACCTGCCGTCATCCCCTTAGCTGTGCCTGACCTGCCGTCACCCTCTGAGCTGCGCCTCACCTGCCGTCACCCCTGAGCTGCGCCTCACCTGCCGCCGCCGGCGGGGCCGTAGCTCACCCTCTGACGCCGCCGTGCGCAGCTCGACCCAGGTTGACATGTACGACGAGACGTTCCGCCCGCTGGTGGACTCGGTACTGCAGGGCTTCAACGGCACCATATTCGCCTACGGCCAGACGGGCACCGGCAAAACCTACACCATGGAAGGTGGGCGAAAGGTCGCGCCGCGTCGGCCCCATCAAGTCACCGCCGGGGAAGTGAGGCGTTCACGCTGGCCGTATTATGTCCGGTTCAGGTTGTGCAGTGGAACGTTTTACATGCGCAGATGCCCTCACCTCGTCTGCCCCAGTTGCGTTATTTGTGGACCGTTTCTCAGATCCGTATGTGCTCAGCCGTTCATGTGTCGGAGCTTTCGGATTAGGTACTTCGTTCAATGTGCGCCCTGCACTGAGTCCTGGACGAGCCCAGCCGGCCGCGGCGCGCTGCGGACGGGCTCACGGCCCGCCATGTCCGGCAGGCGTCCGTGACGACCCCGACCAGCGGGGCATCATCCCGCGCTCGTTCGACCACATCTTCAGCCACATCGAGCGTTCGGAGAACTGCCAGTACCTGGTTCGCGCCAGCTACCTCGAGATCTACCAGGAGGAGAACCGGTACGACCCGGCGGATGGCCGCGCGTGATGTGCGTCGGCGGCCGGGAGACGCGCGCGGGAGCGTCGACGCACGATGTTCTGGCGAGAGGCTGGTGCACCTGCCGCTCGGGGATACACGCTGGGTCCTGGGATGCGCGATGTTTGGCGCTCGTGGCTTGAGAAAGCAGGCATAGTTACCACGCTCAGAAGGTGCTCGCATCCTTTCATTCCGCGGTGTGAGTAGTTTGGGCGCTGGGGTATGCAGAGCACGCGGAAGTTGAGCCGGCTGTACGTCACAGCTTAATAACCGCGGGATGATCTGTAGGCAGGTGCAGTTACCACAAGGGCTCGTGGATATCCGTGATACGCCGCCGTGCTGGTCTGATGTCCCTGCTGGCCCTGCCCAGTTGTGGCCCTGCGGTACTACGCTGCTGACGGCGACGCGCTGGCCGCCGGCAGAGACCTGCTGAACAAGGACCAGCACCAGCGACTGGAGCTGAAGGAGCGGCCCGACACGGGCACATACGTCAAGGACCTCTCGTCGTTCGTCTGCAAGAGCGTCAAAGAGATCGAGCACGTGATGGCCGTGGGAAACGCGAACCGCAGCGTGGGGTGAGCGGCGCCAGGTCGTGCGACGGCCGCTGTCGGCCGCGTCCGGCACTGGTGCGCCGTCCGCGAGAGACGTGTAGACTCGCGACAGCTTGGCCGGCCTCTGCCGTTGCGGGTAGGATGTGTCATGCGCTTCGTTGGTGTAGACGAGATCGAGTGAAGTGTTGGAGATGATATTCTCTCACATTTCGAAGAGTGGTTTTCCCGCGTTTGCTCTTTGTGAGTCAGTTCAATGAAACAAGGTTGGAAGATCGGGGTTGGGGAAGTCTGCAATCCTGCTATTCTGCCGACAGGGCGACGAACATGAACGAGCACAGCTCGCGCTCGCACGCCATCTTCCTGGTAACGGTCGAGTGCAGCGAGCTGGGCCTGGACGGCGAGCCGCACATCCGCGTCGGCAAGCTCAACATGGTGGACCTGGCCGGCAGCGAGCGCCAGGCCAAGACCGGCGCCTCGGTACGTCCCGCGTCGGCCACCGCCGCCGCCGCCGCCGCCTGGCGGGCCCTGTCCGGCGCCGCGCCGCCCTCGCCGCCGCACGTACGACCCCGTCGCCGTACGTGCGATCTCCACCACCGCGCGTGCGACGCCCGCCACCGCGGGTGCGATCCCCGCCGCCGCGCGTGCGACGCCCGTCGCCGCGTGTGCGACCCCCGTCGCCCCGCGCGCGACCCTCGTCGTCGTGCGTGCGACCTCCGTCGCCGCGCGTGCGAGTTCTGCCACCACGCGTGCGACCAGCGCGGAATGTGGCCAGCCGCTGGCGTCCTTCGGGCGCGTGAAAAAGGCGCCGTTGCGTGTGTTGTGGACGCCAGGAATTATAACGTTATAGAGTGTGTGCTGACTCTTGACGACTTCGCACAGTAATTGTGTTGTTCTTGCTTCCGCCCTGCGGTCCAAACCGCGGTCGTAGCTTTTGGTCTGGGAGTTTTCCCATGTGGGGCTGTGCCTAGCTTGTGATGGGCTATGCCTCTCCAGTGATGGCTGTTTTGGGACGATGGATGATGGCACGATGAAACCCCCACGCGCCGTGTGTCAGCCGGCAAAAGATCGGGCGGCAGGGACAACATCGGACGGGCACCAACGCCGCGTGTGTCGTGTTTGGTTCCAGGGCGAGCGGCTGAAGGAGGCCACCAAGATCAACCTCAGCCTGTCGGCTCTCGGCAACATCATCTCGGCCCTGGTGGACGGCAAGTCCTCCCACATTCCATACCGCGACTCCAAGCTCACCAGGCTGTTTCAGGGTGCGTGACGTGCTGCGTTTCTGACTAGCTCCCACCGTTGTTGTTGACAACGCGTGCACTGTATGGGACTCGTGCAACCCTTGATCACTGTTTGTTGTTGATCGAGCGACAGGATTATCGTGCCTGTCCTGCTATGGGGTTTGGATGTGGAGGGGGGGGGGGGGGGCGCTCCATCTCAACCTGCCAGTCGCCTCGCATTTGTTGGCTATCACCTGCGCTAACGCCGTGTGTTATGCTGGAGGCGTGCGGCCGCGTGCACGAGCGCCCCGCTCTGCGCTGGTGCGACTGGCCTTAGCGGCGCTGACGACAGCTCCGTCGCAGACTCGCTGGGCGGTAACGCCAAGACGGTGATGGTGGCAAACATCGGGCCGGCCTCGTACAACTACGACGAGACGCTGAGCACTCTGCGATACGCCAACAGAGCCAAGAACATCAAAAACAAGCCCAAGATCAACGAGGACCCCAAGGACGCGCTGCTCAGGGAGTTCCAGGGCGAGATCATGAAACTCAAGGTAGGTGGCGAGGGAATGTTGATAGGAGACGAATGTCTATGATGAAGGTGCAGTTGCCCGGACGCTCCCACCATTGTGTGTGGGGACTTAGCAAGTTGGTATTTGCCAATTGTTCTCGGAAGGCAGACAGGGGGGTCTGCTTAGTGCAAGGCCCAAAACTCAGAGACGCTTACAGGCGCAGGGTTTTGATTTGTCAATGGTTAGGGAGAGGGTGGGAGGAGATTTGTCAATGGTTAGGGAGAGGGTGGGAGGAAATTTTTCTGTGGTTAGAGAGAGGGTGGGAGGAGATTTGTCAATGGTTAGAGAGGGGGGGGAGGAGATTTGGGAACAGTTTGGGAACAGACGTGAATGGTGACGTTGAGAGTTCCTCCATGAAGTATCTTGCTGGTCACAGTCTCGATCCAATGACATGACTTCCCGTGGCCTGCGGTGGTAGTGTACAAATAACCGCCCCGGTCCCCATCCCGCTCATGTTGCACGCCTGGAGCGACCTGTCGCGCCGCCCTCCGACGTTCGTCAGCGGACAATCGACCAAACGGTCCGGCCGGAGACAGCGCCCCCGCCGCCGTCCCACGAGCGCCAGTCGAGCTGCCGGGCTCTCGAGACGGAGGGAGGCCGCTCCGCTGACTCGGGGCGTGTGGCCTGAGGCGGTCCGGCCGGAGACAGCGCCCCCGCCACCGTCCCACGAGCGCCAGTCGAGCTGCCGTGCTCTCGAGACGGAGGGAGGCCGCTCCGCTGACTCGGGGCGTGTGGCCTGAGGCGGTCCGGCCGGACAGCGCCCCCGCCACCGTCCCACGAGCGCCAGTCGAGCTGCCGTGCTCTCGAGACGGAGGGAGGCCGCTCCGCTGACTCGGGGCGTGTGGCCTGAGGCGGTCCGGCCGGAGACAGCGCCCCCGCCCCGTCCCACGAGCGCCAGTCGAGCTGCCGTGCTCTCGAGACGGAGGGAGGCCGCTCCGCTGACTCGGGGCGTGTGGCCTGAGGTGGTCCGGCCGGAGACAGCGCCCCCGCCGCCGTCCCTCGAGCGCCAGTCGAGCTGCCGTGCTCTCGAGACGGAGGGAGGCCGCTCCGCTGACTCGGGGCGTGTGGCCTGAGGCGGTCCGGCCGGAGACAGCGCCCCCGCCGCCGTCCCACGAGCGCCAGTCGAGCCGCCGTGCTCTCGAGACGGAGGGAGGCCGCTCCGCTGGCTCGGGGCGTGTGGCCTGAGGCTGGGTCATTGACCAGGCTTGTGACGGTCGCCTCATGCTTGACCTGACCCGATGTCGTGGCCTTTATCCAGACGCTTGAGTGGCCGGTGTGGTGGCCTCGATCGTGCACTTTTCCTAGTTCCTGCCTTAAACGGTACCCTAATCCTTGACCCGCGCATGACCTGATCCGAGACCTGCCTGACCGTGACAGTTTGACCTGACCGATGACCCGTCCCGCCGTCAGGCACAACTTCGCGGCCGGACCGGCGGCGGCGA